CCGGGGCGGCTACAGCCGCTGGCCCTGCCTGTTGTGCGGGCTGCTGATTCCTCGGGCGGTTTCGGTTGCACGTGGTCGTATGATGCGGCTGCTGGCAGTGCCGGCATCTGTTGGGCGAGGTGCAATTGTTGCCGTAGTGGTCTCGGGAGAGACAGTTGCTGCAGAGCCGTCGCTGGCGGACTGCATGCAGCTTGTCCCGAACCGAAAGGTGGCACCTGATCGCCGTGTGGTTGCCGGCGCAGAAGGGACACGTCCCTCGATCCTGCTGGTCCCGGCGATTGTCTCGGTAATTGTTATCCCGGTCGCGACGGGGGTTATTTTCATTGCGGCGCGGTTGTCCGCGATTATCGTTCCGTCGGTTCGGGGAGCGACTTCGTGGTCGGTCTGAGGAACGTCCGCGCCGCCGCCACTTGCGTGGGGGGCTGCGGGAACGCGATTGCCCTCGCCGAAACGATCGTCGCTGATTATTGTTGTTGTTGCCCCGGTTTTGCTGTTGCCGTCGATTGCCGTTCGAAGTCGACGGGGCGGCATTTGCCAGATTGACGTTGGCCGCAGCCGCTGGTGCGGCGGCTGCTGCGGCAGGTGGGGCCGCGGCCGAGGCTGCGGCAGGTGCTGCGGAAGCCGCTGCGCCGTCAGCCGGGGCCGCTGCGCCCTGAAATGCTAAGACTGGTGGCGCCTCCGCCATGCGGAGTTTGTGCGCGAAGTAGGACCGGATAAATCGGTATTGCCGATGAGGGCGCGTGGCCCAGACTGGGTCCAGTAGTCCGTAGACGCGCACCGCCAGCCATATGCGGACCTCCTGAAGGTCCATTAACGGCGCAAGATCTACGCGCGCATCCTGGCCCGGGTGCGCCTCCACGTGCTTTAAGTACAGCCAGACTTACCACGTTAGTTTTTCGGTGATTTGGACGACTCTGTTAAAGTAGTCGTAAAACTCTGGGAGAGTGTTGGGTGCTGGAAGGCGATCGAATTCGCGGTAGAGTTTGAGGCGTACCGCGTCCGTTTGCCCGTATTCAGAGAAGAGCACCTGGAGAACGCTGAGGTAATCCATATTAACGTCTTGGTACGCGAAGGCGCCGACGTTTTCTTTTGCCTCACCATCAAGGTGAAGGAGCAAAACGCGGATTCTTTCGATATCCGTGAGTTGCGCGGCAGGAATGATGTGGACTGCGTCTTTCAGCGCGGTTTCCGCGAGTTTGCCTATTAACCTCAGGCGAACCGGTCATTTAAACAACTTCCTCCGCAGCGCTCGGACGAAGAGCATTGTTTTAACTAGGTCATGATGGGAGAGGCTGGTTGGCTGCCCCGTCCCGTATATGGTGAGAGCGTGATGATACGCCTCGTATGGTCTTCCCTGCGGCTGCAGGATTGAAGAAGGCCCGGACTCCGAGTTGCCGTAGCTGGCCGGAGCCGGTGGGTGTAGGAGTGCGGGCGCCATGGGGCGCAGAGGGACGAGCTGTCCCATCGCGGGATGCGAAGCTGCCGATCCTGTGCCGCGCGACGCGCTAGGCATGTTCGGCGGTAGCACAGGAATTGGCGCCCCCCTGGGGGAGGGCTGAGGCGCGGCGTGCGCCACCGATGGCGTGGGAGGCGCGGGTACGTGTGGCACCGCGGGGAAAGCAACCCCTAAAACACGTGGCTGTGTCGGGCGTAAGCGCGGCCACCCCCCGGTCATGACGTCCATGGATTGCACCAAAAGGGTGTTCACCTCGGTTGCCAATCGCGTGAGGGCGGCGATTTCGGGCTGCGTGAACGCAGCAGGAGTGCGTAAGCGCGGCCACCCCCCGGTCATGACGTCCATGGATTGCACCAAAAGGGTGTTCACCTCGGTTGCCAATCGCGTGAGGGCGGCAATTTCGGGCTGCGTGAACGCAGCAGGAGATAAGTCGATGAGATGCGCCTCTGCGTCAAAAAAGCTGGGTACAACGCTTTCGAAGCGTTGCTGCGGATCGCCGAGTTCGGGCGTCCGCAAGATATGGTCCACCGCGCCTACCGCGTTGGCAAGGCGGAGGACCTGCTTAATGATGGAGGGGCGGCGTGCCGTGGACGCCGAAGAGCGGCCGCTGGAGGCTGCGATTGAGGCAGCACCGCGAGACGCTGGCCTCGATGATCGTCGTTCGACGCCTGAAAGAGGCGCCTGTTGTGTGCGATGGGAGGAGCGCGACCGCGCGCTATTATGACTGCCGTCGCTGGACGGGCTCGGGGATAGGCGATGCCGTGGCCTCGCCGGTAGAGGTCCCCGCCGTCGCGGAGGCTGGCGCGTACCGCGGGTACGGCTCGAGATGGGCGGCGTGCCGGGGACTGCGCCTTCCTCACCGTTCATTGTGCAGAGAAATTTCACACAAAAGAAGCTGGTGAGTACTTACAGGTTTTTTCCAGAGGGTGAGGTGGGCTGGGTGTAAACGTATGAGCAGCAGGGCTGCAAGTTCACACTT